GAAATGGCACACTACACAACTATTAACAGTTAACAAAAGACCTCAATCACTTACAATTAGCAACTCCACACAGTTTCATGATCCAAGTAGTTAATTCGAGATAAGACGGCTTAGATCATTTATGTGATTGTCCCTCATCAGGTGTTGCCTGTAAATATGGCATTTGTTAGGTTAAAATATTGCAAAGCTCGGAAAAATTAGGGATTCACTTATAATTAGTCAACAATGGTAGAAACTAAATTATCTTCAAATTCAAATCCCTACTTTTACAATTTACAACACAAAGCAATAATCTGAGAAAAGAAAGATTACCAGATACCAATGAAGAGAAGGGTGACGGTGGTGAGCTGATGAAGGACTGAGATCGACGGAGAATGGGTTTTCTTTGTCCTTTCTTTCCCGTGTTTCCTCTTTTTATTAGAGTGCCGGTGAATCGATGAAAAAGATGAGTGACGGTGAATCTATGAAGAAGATGAGTGACGGTGAATCGATGAAGAAGATGAGGAGGAAGAAGATTGTGTTTTGTTTTTTTGCGGTAGTAGCAAAAATTGTGCGCCAAAACGAAAAAATCATCTGGGAAAGGACTTTGGTCTTTTAATTAATTTTATTATTTATTATATGTATTATAATTAGATAGCGCTTTACTACAAATGCTAACATAGGATAGTTTAATAATAGCGCTTTTTTTGGAAGTGCTATTTTAGTGAAACATTTTAGTAGCATTTTTTTAAAAAGCGCTATCTTAGTGAAACATTTAATTATATGTATTATAATTAGATAGCGCTTTATGGTAAAAGCTAACATAGGATAGTTTAATAATAGCGCTTTTTTGAAAGTGCTATTTTAGTGAAACATTTTAGTAGCATTTTTTAAAAAAGCGCTATCTTAGTGAAGAAAATTAATAGCGTTTTAAAGAATGCGCTATCTTAGTGAAATTTAATAATAGCGATTTTTTACAAAGTGCTATCAAAATCACATTATCTGTACTCTATAATAGCGCCCGACTATAAAGCGCTATTATAGATGTGTTTGTTTTCTTTTTAATAGCACTTTTTTTAAAAGCGCTATTAAGTTAGGCGATACAAAATATCAATTTTGGCGTAGTGAAATAATTCTACATTAAAAATATTTTGTTTTCTTCATTACTACAAATAATACATTCTATGACGCCGTTTTTATCACGGTTGTCAAAAGGAAAGATGGAACATTTTAAAAATCAAGTTTTTTTATTTTTTATTTTTAAATTAAAAGCAATTTATATTTTACCGTGGTTGGATATAGAAACCGTGGGAAAATTTTGTAATGGTTATAAGTTTGAATCTCATCATATACAAATTTGTGGTTTATTTAATATTATAGTGGCGCCATTCTTTTTAATTTTTTTCAAAACAAAAAACAAGCTATTTTTCTCCAGAGTTGGAAATTTCAACAGATGTGAAACTTTATGCCTTTTTATTTTAAATTTTTAAATTGTTAAAAAAATGACACTACAATAAAATTAAAATTAATATATAAGATCATTTTCCCACATTGGTGAAATGGTTTAGCCTTATTCAACATTGGTGACATATCTTTAATTAATTATAAAAAAAAAGTTTTTATATATCTTAAAAATGATTTATGTCCTTTGATTTATTTCTAACAAAATGAAAATAAATAATTTTTCCTTTTTTAGTGAGGAATAGGATAAGAAATAATAAATATTAGAATTAAAAAAAAAACCAATGAATGTACAATCAAGTGGAAAGGGTGAAAAGGATGTTCTCATTTATTTATTTCTTGCATATTTTTATCTATCATTTTTTATCTTCAACTATTCATATCAGAACATTGATTATTTGCAAGTACATGTAAAGAGTATCTTTCTGCCGACATGAATTTTAATAATACAATTAAGTACTATAAATAAAATTAAAAGATTTCATCTTCCATATTCTTTTATTTATTTAGTGATGTGCTCTTTTGTACTATATTTAAAAAAATCTATTAATGATAGAATATTTATTATCTTTGTAAATAGTTAATTTATTATTACAAAATTATGGTATTTCAAATATATTTTTATTCTTTTTTATCAACTCATTATAAAATTTCAACACAAAAACATTATCTATTTTCAAACTAACTTTAAGATTTAAAAATAAGAAAATAAAAAAATTGTTAGTTAATTTTAATTGGTTGATTTTGATTGTTTTATATTAAATATGATGCATATTGTATCTAACAAATTCTATGTTATTATATTTCTTTAAATTTTTAAAATTGTTGTCTTATTGACATTGGTAAAGGGATAAGCAAAATCAACAAGAACAAATAGATGTATGGAGATATGACTCTGACCAAAAATATTCAAGTGGGTGGGAGAAGGAACCACATGAAGATAAAGAAGCAGAGACGATGAGAAAGAAATATGATGGGTCTGAATGGTCCAATGAGATACCATATTAATGCAGACATATACTGTATTACACGTGTTCAGTTTTGGGCCCCGGCTTGGCTAGGTAGGGTCAGTCCAATAATATTCTGCCAAGCCCAGTCCAGCTTGGGTCGCAGCCTTCGAACACAAGGTCCATGGCGGACAGGTAATGCCCCTCCGCGGGCAGAACCTGCCCCATCTGTGTCAAGCACAAGACTCTCCCATCGACCAGATATTACCCTCTCCGCGGGCAAGACCTGCCCCTCCGCGGGCATAACCCGCTCCCCTATCGGGCAAGACAATGTGTCCTTCACACGTTCTCCACACGCTCTCCACATGCTCCCCTTCGCGGGGACACGTCACTGACCAACTGCCCACCTCGAAAGAGCAGGTCAAACCTACTCTCCGGAGATCACGGGACAGTTGAACTATGGCGAAAACCATGTTCTGGTCTTCACTACGCCACGTAAGCCCTAGTAGTCACTTGGGTTGCGCCTGACCATCCAGCCCAACCTAAGTGACCGTTGGCCCTGCGCTGGGATCTCTCTATAAATACCCTCTTTCACAAGAGAGTCAGATAATTCACTTCTTACCCTCTTTCTGTACTTGTGATCACTCTGCCCATACGCTTACTTTAGCATCGGAGTGCCTTGCAGGTACACCCTCCCTCCTCTTCTTCAATACTGGTGAGCAGACGACAAGTCGAACACACGTGGCAGCCAGCGATCCCTTTCTGATCAGGTCAGATCAACACGTTATGTAAAAAATACAATATTTATATAAGAAATGATATTACGCATTAATGTAAACATGATATTTACGAAGTTTTTCCCTAAATAATTTCATTTTGATTTCTTTCCTATTTTATTTTAATGCACCCATCATGCATTCATGTCATCCTATTTTTTAAAAATTAAATGTCATTTAAATCTTAGTTTTGAAATTACATTAATATGAAATTGAAATTTTTAAATTTTTTAACACTTTAATTAATTGATTTTGAAATGATATAAACAGGTACAAACCCATGTTTTTTTCTACTATTTCCTTTCAAATCAAAATCAAATTTTTGATGATGTTAAATTCAATAATTCTTTAAAATGTGTGTCGGATATGAATATCATAATCTAAGGGAAAATCTATATCAGAGAATTTTTTAATATATTATAAAAATGTGTATACGTTTTACAAAGTTCCAATTTTCTTGAAAAATTTTATTTTGATTTTTTTACTATTTTATTTTAATAAACCCATCATGCATTCATGTTTTATTATAGTCATTCTATTTTTTAGGAAATTAAATGTCATTTAAAGCTTAGATTTGAAATTACTTTAATTTGAAATTGAATTTCTTAAATCTTTTAGTATTTTAATTGTTTGATTTTGAAATTATATAAACAAGTATAAATCCATGTTTTTTTTGCCACTATTTCGTTTCAAAACAAAATCTGATTTTCAGTTATGTTGGATTTCTATCATAATAGTTTTCCAAAATGTGTCTGATATGAATATTTTTTTAAGGGCAAAGCTATTTGGATTTTTTTTTTAAATATTATAAAAATATGTATATGTTTTACAAAGTTTTAATTTTCGGGGATAATTTAATTTTGGTTTCTATATTATTTAATTTTAATACACCCATCATAAATTTATGTTTTATTAATGTTATTCTATTAAAAAAAAATTAATTTTCACCTTAACATTTCAAGATTCTATTATTTTGAACCTCTTGAAATTTAGTTAGCAGAATTCTTAACATAATAATATTTTTTAAATTTATTATTATTATTTTTAATTACGTGAATGATTTATGTGGCATTTTATATTATTATTTATTTTTAAATTTCATGTTGCATTTTTTTATTATTATTTTATTGTTTTAGTGATAAATGTCAAAGTTCAAAAATGGCCATTAAGAAAGTGAGAATATCTTTTCCATCCTTCCCTTTCGATTGTACAATCATGGGTTTTTTTTGTTAGTTTTTGTTAGAATTCCTATATTCATTATTTCTTAAAATGGATATGATTGGTTGTGCTTGTGCTAAGGGAGCACGCGTGGGAGAGTGGTGAGATGAACGCCACGTGGCAACTGGGTAAATTTTTTTCCTTTTCATTTTTTTCTCTCACTGACTCACATATATTTTTCTTTTCTTTTTTAAAATTCTTATTTAATTAAATAATGATATTCAATGATCGAAAAGAGTATTCATCACCACCAGAGATCGAAAACTAAGATGTGGAAAATGTCAGTCGGTAACCATTTACTTTCATTGATGGATTGCAACCACTTATTTTCATTTTAATTTGGGTCTAATAGCCATTCAAAGTGTGTTAATATTACATAAGTAAATGCGCTTATTAAAATAGTTTGCAATAATTTAAATAAGAGACTAAACTAAATAATTTAAAATTAAAGGCAAAATCATTAAACAGAAACACTTTGACCCTACAGTTTGGCTAAGACCAAACTGCATATATGGGCAAGTGGTAATTTTTATTTCATTAATTATTTATTTCCATACACATGATTAAGAACAGAGCCTAGTGGTCTTTGTTTCATCACATGCATGGTATACTAACATAGTTAGTTACACTTTTCATAGCAGAAATTAGTGATATCAGCACAACGACACTGTGGAGGAATAGACTTTGTACAAATGCAACGTATGCAAGCTGAGTGACATGTTTCTCCAACATCAATACAACGACACTGAGGACGGACTGATCTTGTGCAAACGCAGGCATCACAGCATGCTGTTGTTGTTGATTTGATAGTATAACCTGTTGGAACTTTAATTAATTAATGGTGGAACTTTAATTAATTATAGTGGGAATTGGAAACATTTGTTGACAATTAATGAGCAATAAATGAACACAAGTGAGAACTAATAGAGAAGTGAATTTGAAAAGATTCATTTTAGTCCCACATTGAAGGGAATAGAAATATTAGTCGTGTTTAGATGAATTATTTTTTGGACCCGAATTTATATAATTTAATTATCATTAATTAATTAATATAATTCGGTGGAAAATTAATTAATAATAAATATTAATTAATTAAGAAAATAATTGGTCAGTCAGTCCTCCACGAATTTCTCAGTCTCCCACCATTTTCTCCACTCCCCACGAATTTCTCAGTCTCCCACCATTTTCTCCACTCCCCACGAATTTCTCCCCACTCAGGTGCAGTTTGCTGCCTATAAATACAGGGTAGAAATTCAGAAGTGGGTACATCGGATTTCACAAATTCACACGAATTTTGATTTCCCTCCTCTCTTTCTCATTTCTCTTCATCTCAAAAACTCTCTTTTCTTGACTGGTTACTTTAACCAGATACTTTGAAAGGTGTATTTCTAGAGCGATTTATCAGTGTGCAACTGATAATCGTAAGTTTTAAGAACGGGCTGTTTTATCCTGGAGACGTCGTCGTAAATTCGACTGCTTTGCATAATTTGGCAGTACGACGAAACGTCTTAAAGAAAGCGACCTAGTACGCGACTCGTCCCGATAATTTCCTTGTGCCAAACGCTATTTTTTCAAATCAGAAAACAACAATTTTAAGACGATTTCATAACTGCCATGGCAACTGAGGAAATTATCGGTACTACTGCGGCCGCTTCGGTCTCTGACAAACCTTTCAGGTTTGAGGGTTCCAATTTCAAACGTTGGCAAGCTAAGATGAAATTTTTCTTAACTCTGAAAAAGGTTGCCCACGTTCTGACTGAGGATATCCCGGTTGTCCCTTCTGCATCATCTGAACTACCTAACGGTAACTCACTTGCAGATTCAGACGGGACTTCCAAAATATCTGACTCAAATGCTGCAAAAGCTAAGGCTGCAGCAGATGATCTACAGCTCCGAAAAGAAATCGCCTTATGGCACGAGAATGATTATCTGTGCAAAAATCACATTCTGAACAGCCTTGCTGATGATCTGTACGACTACTACAGTAGCTACAGGACTGCTAAACAGGTTTGGGAGGCTCTGCAAAGAAAATATGATACTGAAGAAGCAGGTGCGAAGAAATTTGCTGTCAGCCGCTACTTGAACTACAAGATGGTGGATGAGAAGTCGGTGGAAGCTCAAAGCCACGAAATACAAAAGATTGCTCATGAGATCATTACAGAAGGTATGCCCCTCAATGAACAATTTCAAATTGCTGTAATTATTGACAAACTGCCCCCTGGTTGGAAAGATTTCAAAAATGTGCTTCGTCACAAAACAAAAGAATTTTCAATCGAGAGTCTGATAACTCGCCTCCGAATTGAAGAGGAGGCTCGGAAACAAGATCAGAAAGAAGAAGTCTTAGTTGTGTCTAACAACAAAAAGAAATTCGGTGCGGTTCTGAAGCCTACGGGCAAACCTTTAAAGAATCAGAACCGCAATGCTATGAACCGAATTAAGAATGGGAATCCCTCTAGGGCCCCATCAGCTCCATTTGCTAAGCAACAACCACCACCTCAAAGAAATGATGCTCCGGTTTTCACTTGCTATAATTGTGGGAAACCGGGCCATATGGCAAAGAAATGTAGGAGCAGGCCTAAACCTGCAGCTGGCTCAAATGCTCAGGTCAACCTGACTGATGAGCAACTCATTGCCATGATCACTGAAATCAACATGGTTGGTGGAAGTGATGGTTGGTGGATAGACACTGGCGCCACTCGTCATGTCTGCTATGATCGTGCTATGTTCAAGACATACATGAATGCTGAAGATAAGAAAGTGTTGTTGGGAGATGCTCACACCACTAATGTTGCTGGAATTGGAGATGTTGAGCTGAAGTTCACTTCAGGAAAGACTTTGATCTTGAAGGACGTCATGCATGTTCCTGAAATTAGGAAGAATCTTGTTTCTGGTTTTCTTTTGAATAAGGCTGGGTTTAGTCAAACTTTAGGGGCAGATTTGTACACCATCACTAAGAATGGTATTTTTGTTGGAAAAGGGTACGCCACTAATGGCATGTTTAAGTTGAATGTTGATTTGAATAAAATTTCTCCTTCTGTTTACTCTGTGTGTGACTTCAATATTTGGCATGGTAGACTTTGTCACGTTAATAAACGAATCCTTTCTAATGCAAGCAACATAGGCCTAATCCCTAAACTAAATGTTAATGATTCCAATAAATGTGAATTTTGCAGTCAAGCTAAAATAACAAAAACTTCACATAAGTCAATTATAAAAGAATCTGACCCCCTAGATCTTATACACTCTGATATATGTGAATTAGATGGAAGTTTAACTAGAAATAATAAACGTTACTTTATCACTTTTATTGACGATTGCTCTGATTATACTTATGTATATCTAATGAAGAATAAAAGTGAAGCGCTTGACATGTTTAAGGTGTATGTAACTGAAATTGAGAATCAATTTAACAAGAAGATTAAGAGACTTCGCAGTGATAGGGGAACCGAATATGACTCTAGCTTGTTTAATGATTTTTATGCTGAACATGGTATTATACATGAAACGACTGCTCCATACTCTCCTGAAATGAATGGTAAAGCAGAAAGAAAGAATAGGACTCTTACTGAACTTGTAGTTGCAATCATGTTAAATTCTGGTGCTGCACCTCACTGGTGGGGGGAAATTTTATTGACTGTTTGCTATGTCCTGAATAAAGTTCCCAAGTCGAAAAGTAAGATCTCACCTTATGAGATATTAAAGAAAAGACAACCAAATTTGTCTTATTTGAGAACTTGGGGCTGCCTGGCTTATGTCAGAATTCCGGATCCGAAACGAGTTAAACTCGCTAGTAGAGCCTATGAATGCGTATTCAGTGGGTATGCAGCAAACAGTAAGGCATACAGGTTTTATGACCTAAATGCCAGAGTAATCATAGAATCAAACGATGTTGAATTCTTTGAAGACAAATTTCCCTTCAAATCGAGAAATAGTGGGGGCACACAATCGAGTCACATTCCTGTGATAAAAAGCACTGAAAGCAGCGACAATGTAGAAACAGAGCTTCGAAGAAGTAAAAGAGCAAGAGTTGCTAAAGACTATGGGCCCGATTATGCGGCCTATAATGTAGAAGAAGATCCAATAAATCTTCAAGAAGCACTGTCATCTATGGATGCAGACTTATGGCAAGAAGCCATTAATGATGAGATAGATTCTCTAGAATCTAACAAGACCTGGCGCTTAGTAAACTTACCTCCGGGTTGCAAACCAATTGGTTGTAAATGGGTTTTGAAAAAGAAACTAAAACCTGATGGAACGATTGAGAAATACAAGGCACGCCTTGTAGCCAAGGGTTTTAGACAAAGAGAAAATATAGATTTCTTCGACACCTTTTCTCCAGTCACTAGAATTACATCCATTAGGGTACTCATTTCAATAGCAGCCATTTATAACTTAATAGTACACCAAATGGATGTTAAAACAGCTTTTTTAAATGGTGACTTAGAAGAAGAAATCTATATGGAACAACCAGAAGGATTTGTAATCCAAGGACAAGAAAGCAAGGTCTGTAAGTTAGATAAGTCTCTGTATGGACTAAAACAAGCCCCTAAACAATGGCATGAAAAGTTTGATAACTTAATGATAATTAATGGGTACAAAGTGAATGAAAGTGACAAGTGCGTCTATTACAAATCTGAGAATCGCATTTGTACTATCATATGTCTATATGTAGACGATCTACTTATATTTGGATCAAACATTCAGGCCATTAATGATATGAAATCATTGTTATGCAATAACTTTGATATGAAAGACCTCGGAGAAGCAAGCGTGATCCTGGGTATCAAGATCACGAGATTCGAACAAGGAATTTCTTTGGATCAATCTCACTATGTGGAGAAGATCTTAAAGAAATATAAATACTTTGATTGTAAACCTGCATGCACTCCGTATGATCCAAGTGTGAAACTATTTAAGAACACTGGAGAGAGTGTCAAACAAGCAGAATATGCGAGCATCATTGGCAGTCTTAGGTATGCCACTGATTGTACTAGACCCGACATTGCATATGTCGTAGGACTGTTGTGCAGATTTACAAGTAGGCCGAGTAATGAACATTGGCAAGCTATTGAGCGAGTAATGAGGTACCTGAAAAGGACTATGGACCTCGGCCTACACTATCAGAAATTTCCTGCTGTACTAGAAGGGTATAGTGATGCAGATTGGAACACCTTATCGGATGATTCCAAAGCTACTAGTGGTTATATATTTAGTATAGCCGGAGGAGCTGTATCTTGGAAATCAAAGAAACAGACCATTCTGGCACAGTCCACAATGGAGTCTGAGATGATAGCATTAGCTACAGCTAGTGAAGAAGCAAGTTGGTTAAGATGCTTGCTAGCTGAGATTCCTTTATGGGAAAAACCTATACCAGCTGTGTTGATCCACTGCGATAGTACCGCGGCTATTGCAAAAGTTGAGAACCGTTATTATAATGGTAAAAGACGTCAAATTAGAAGAAAACATAGCACTGTTAGAGACTGTATCTCTAAAGGAGCTGTGAGAGTGGATCATGTACGCACTGATGAGAACTTAGCAGATCCTTTGACGAAAGGATTAGCTAGAGAGAAAGTCCATAATACATCCAAAAAGATGGGACTAATGCCTATGAAGCAATTAGTTACTCATGATGGTAACCCGACCTAAATGACTGGAGATCCCAAGACTTAGGTTCAATGGGTAATAACAAGTTATGAGTAATATGAAAATGATCATGCAAGTAAAGCATGAATCCTGAAGTAATGAGAGGATGAGATAATAGAAACTCTTAATGAGATCTATACTCTGTATGAGGGAGTACCTAGGCTACAGGAGTACTCTTGATAGATTCACCTATGTGACTGTGGAACTAGGCCGGTTCCTATGGAATTTCGAGGCAGAATTCCTAGAGCATTCACTAAACCGGGATACACGTGCAGGGCCACTAAAGCACGGGCTACAAGAATACACCTTACGGAAAGGTTGTGTGCGGGTCTGATGTCCGAGATAGAGTTCAAGACAATGGTGTCACTCTTGTTGAATCAGAATCCTACTCGCTACGCTAAGGTTCAAGTCGTAGACACCTTTGCTTATGCTCAACCTGAGAAACGTCTGACGTACTTCTAAAATCTCTTTTAAATTCAAGTGGGGGAATGTTGGAACTTTAATTAATTAATGGTGGAACTTTAATTAATTATAGTGGGAATTGGAAACATTTGTTGACAATTAATGAGCAATAAATGAACACAAGTGAGAACTAATAGAGAAGTGAATTTGAAAAGATTCATTTTAGTCCCACATTGAAGGGAATGGAAATATTAGTCGTGTTTAGATGAATTATTTTTTGGACCCGAATTTATATAATTTAATTATCATTAATTAATTAATATAATTCGGTGGAAAATTAATTAATAATAAATATTAATTAATTAAGAAAATAATTGGTCAGTCAGTCCTCCACGAATTTCTCAGTCTCCCACCATTTTCTCCACTCCCCACGAATTTCTCAGTCTCCCACCATTTTCTCCACTCCCCACGAATTTCTCCCCACTCAGGTGCAGTTTGCTGCCTATAAATACAGGGTAGAAATTCAGAAGTGGGTACATCGGATTTCACAAATTCACACGAATTTTGATTTCCCTCCTCTCTTTCTCATTTCTCTTCATCTCAAAAACTCTCTTTTCTTGACTGGTTACTTTAACCAGATACTTTGAAAGGTGTATTTCTAGAGCGATTTATCAGTGTGCAACTGATAATCGTAAGTTTTAAGAACGGGCTGTTTTATCCTGGAGACGTCGTCGTAAATTCGACTGCTTTGCATAATTTGGCAGTACGACGAAACGTCTTAAAGAAAGCGACCTAGTACGCGACTCGTCCCGATAATTTCCTTGTGCCAAACGCTATTTTTTCAAATCAGAAAACAACATAACCTGCATCACCATTGAAGAGCACTTGAGTGATGAACGAAGTTGAATCGAAACGAGCATCAACAACAGTTGCACTGAAGCCCAACAGGAAAAGCATTAAAGCTAACTTCATCATTGCCTTCTTGTTCATCAACGCCATTATTACTATTCTCTTTCTCTATTATGATTTTTTTATTTCTCTTTGCACCTACATAGGTCTATTTATTTATAGTAGGGATGGAAAAAAAACCCGGACCCGTCGGGGGCCGCCCGGACCCGTCTCAAAATTAGTGGAAAAAATCCGATTTGAGTGGATACGGGTGCGGGTGCGGGAAAAACCCGACTTTTAATTACGGATGCGGGTACGGGTGCGGGAAGACACTAAGACCCGCCCGCATTTGGCCCCGCCCCGCCCCCGAATAATGCATTTTAGTTTAATTCTCTTATTTTACTTATTTTAATATTCATTTATTAATTATGTTTTTAATTAAATTATTAATACATTTATTATAATTAAAATAATTAAATTAATCAAATTAATATTTATTTATTAATTAAAATTTTAATTAAATAAATAATTAATTTATTAAAATAATTAATTTTTTAATTAAATTATTAATTTTTATTGCAATTAAAAAGAAATTATTTTTTTTCGGGTGGGGGCGGGGTGGGGGCGGGTGCACCTGTTCTCTACTGGAAACAGGTCTTGGCGGTAAATTTTTATCCCCGATTGAATTTGGGGCGGAGACGGGTGTGCTACATGGAGGCAGGTGCGAGTGCGGGTATTGTAAAATCCGCCCCCGACCCACTCCGTTGTCATCCCTAATTTATAGAGAGGTTTTTTTTCTTTTTATTATTTTAATTTTTTTTTCTTCTAAGAAATGAACTCATCGCGTGTTCCTCGTGTTCTATATTGGACCACTTATCATAATAATTTGAATATGACATTTATTGTGTTTTTGTTTTTATCTTAAAAACTGACACATCTTCTCTTGTAATGGTCCCTATGGTGTGTTGTCTGTGAGTATCTGTGTACATTAGAGCACCACGTTGTTAGACATTCTTGGATATTTCCTTGTGAAATGTCTTTCTTTAATTTAGAACCATACTAATATTAACTTATAATACTAATTTTCGTTCTGATAGAGTTCAAATGAAGAAATTTGTAAATAGGATAAATTTTTTATTATAAATGTGATATTAGTTACTTGAATTTAATAAAATGAATGTCATCAACTGATTTATAAAAACAATTCGTTCATGTTATTTTAGAAGAATTAAAAAAGAATTAGAGATTTGACGTATGACCTTATATATCAACAAATTGTATATTTCAAAATCAATGTGAATTTATTCAAATATTATATAAATTTACATAAATTGTCTAATAGTTGAATTGTATTATAAATTGCATAATATATATATATATATATATATATATATATATATATATATATATATATATATATATATATATATATATATATATATATATATATATATATATATATATATATATATATATATATATATATATATATATATATATATATATATATATATATATATATATATATATATATATATATATATATATATATATATATATATATATATATATATATATATATATATATATATATATATATATATATATATATATATATATATATATATATATATATTGATCTGACCTGATCAGAAGGGGATTATGGGCTGACCACACTCTGTTGGACTGCTACCTGTTCACCGGTGATGAGGAGGAGGAGGGGGGTGTACCTGCAAGGCATTTCGATGCCAAAGTAAGTATATGGACAGAGTGATCACAAGTACAGAAAAAGGGGTAAGAAGTGAATTACCTAACCCTCTTGTGAAAGAGGGTATTTATAGAGAGACCTCAACGCTAGGCCAACAGTCACTTGTGTTGGGCTGGATTGTCAGGCCCAACCCATGTGACTGTTAGGGCTTATGTGGCGTAGTGAAGACCAGGACGTGGTCTTCACCCTAGTCCAACTATCCCGTGATCTCCAAAAAGTGGGTTTGACCTGCTCTTTCGGAGGTGAGCAGTTGGTCGGTGACGTGTCCCCGCGGAGGAGAGCACGTGGAGAACGTGTGAAGGACACGTAGTTCTGCCCGACAAGGGGGCAGGTTCTGCCCGCGGAGGGGCAGGTCTTGCCCGCGGAGGACAGCGTTTGGTTGAGGGGGGAGTCTCCTACCTTTTCCTGCTCGACGGGGACCCTGTGCCCGACGTGAGGCCCACGCTAGACTGGGTTTGATGGAGTACTTATTGGGCTGGGCCTCCGCGACCTACCTGAGGCCCAGGCCGGAACAGGAGCCCCCCAAGTCGTAGCTCCGAGGGAGGGAGCGAGGACTTGATGAGGTCGTCCCCGGGGAAGGGAACTGTCCCGGGTAAGGGAACTGGCCCGGGGAAAACCCTGTGGCTCACGTTCTGCGGGAAGCGGACGTGTGCGTCCTTCCGCCTCGTGGATTTCTCGGGCTTGAGGACATGTGTTAACGAGGAAACGCGAGGGGCGTGACTGTCTGCCTTCGCCACGTGTCGCGCACTGGGTGGCTGCTAGGGCGGTTACCCTAGGGTACTCGAGTGCCTAGTGACGCTTCGAGTCCCGTGCTGGTTTATAAGTACCCGAGCCCCCGCTCATTCTTCACTTTTTGCCCTCTTGCTCTTAAGTTTCCTGCTTGCTGTCCCGCCGCCGTTTGATATCTCCGTCGTCACAGCCGCCGCGTTCTTCGTCGTAGATCGTATCGCAGTAAGTTTTCTTTCTCTTTTCCTCTGTTTTTTTGTTTGTTTTATGACCATGGTCGGGGTAGTATGAATGCCCCGACGAGAGGCGAAGATCTCCGCCGTTGTAGGGGGTTTTCTAGGGTTTTTATCATGAATGTCCCGGGGTGGGACGCTAGTTCCGATGAATGTCCCGGGGAAAGAAGCTTTTTCCGATGATTGCCCCGGGGAGGGATTCTTTACTCAGATGAACGTCCCCGAGAGCGACGTCTATTCCGACGGGTGCCCCCGAGGAGGGTTTGCAGTTTGGGTCATGCTGGTAACCGGGGAGGTGGTAGGTTAGGGCAGATCCACCGGGGATGATGCTCGGGGAATCCTCGTCGCCCTTTCACTTGACTTGCGGTGGAAAGGTGAATTTGATCTCTGTCATCGAATTCACCGTTACCTTCTGCTTTTCAGGTGTTAATGACTACATTTGTCCTGGGCACAATGGTCGAGGATAATGAACTGGATGTCCCACATTTTGATGCGTGTGCCGTTCCGATAGGGGACTGGGTGGCCGAGGAGACTTTAACTACGCCCTCCTGCTTCGCTTCTGATCCGACAAGGGCATACGCTACCGTGGAGGACCGGAGAGAAGGGGATCCGCAGAACTGGAAAGTCTATCGTCCCCGGCCAGGCGATCGTATATGCTCGAAATACGGGCAGATGCGCTTCCCGATGTATGAGTTCTACTTCAAAGAGGCCAAGCTTAGGTTGCCCTTTTCAGACTTCCATCTGGGCCTCTTCGACTGGCTGAGGTTGGCCCCGTCGCAGTTGCACCCAAACGCCCTGGCTTTTATTCGGGCCTTCGAGCTCGTGTGCCAATATCTCCAGGTCTGCGTCACGCTGCCGTTGTTCTTTCGTATTTTCCATCTGCAACGGCAGACGGTGAGTGGTTGACATGGCTGGGTGTCGTTCAAGCAGCCGGACAGGCTTTTCAGAACGTATATGGATTCTGTCCGGGACTTCAAAGGTCGTTTTTTCGTGGTCAGCCCGATCACACACGAAGGGGTCCGTTCTTTATATTCAGAAGGGGAGAGGATCGTGGATGGTCGTTGCGAGGCCGTCATGCTGCCCCGGGTGCACGTGGAGTGGTCTCTGGAACACTATTCTCGGGGAACAGGTCGGTATATCGTGCGTGCGGGGTCGCTCGACGACGAGGACATGGCCAGCTATCTGAAGATAGTTTCATTCGTGCATAATTTACCGCCGTCAAAGCTGGTCACCCCCGATGGCCGATACATCCTCGACAGCTATGGGAACATTCACGAGACGCCGAGGTTGATCAATATAAAGGCCTAGCTCGAGTGCTCCTCGGAGGAGGATGCTCTGCGCTACCTAGGTGGTGGACGCCTCGCCTTCTCACGACTTGACACTCTTATCTTTTGTTAACCGGGTTTCTTTGTTTTGCAGGGAACATGTCTTCTGTCGAGGAGCGAGTGAAAAAGTTGCGTGCCTCACGGGCTGTCGTTCCTCCGAAGACGCGGGTCGCCCAATTGGTCGGGCAGTCTTCCGCGGAACAAGATGGACGGGCGTCGTCGGTGTCCCCGACCGATAGCCAGTCGCCTACTTCTCAAGGGGCCCCAAAGAGGGCGAGAGTTCAGGAGGATACTCCCGTGGTTGACTTATCGGTGGATTCTTCCGAGGAGGGTTACGCTATCGCTCCTTGTCACCAGCACCCCAGTTATTTCCATGGGGCTAGGTCGCCCAGTATTCCTGCGGGGGAGGCGAAGGCAATTTTGAGTGCTAACCGGGCTACGAGGAGGCAGGTTCTGACCGAGGACTTGGCTGCGTTGATGCGGACTTTCACTACGGCGATGGTCTTGAGCGAAGAAAGTTGCTCGGTTGTAGAGCTGTCAAAGCTGCAAGGGGATCTCGCTTTCACGCAGTCCTGTCTGAACAAGGCAGCCGGGGATCTGGAGGTGAGCCGAGGGAAGGTGACTCAGCTGACTGAAGAGCTGGAGAAGTCTCGCGGGGAGGTGGCTCTCGAGCGCAAGATGGGTGACAGTGCCGAGGAGAAGCTGAGGATAGCCGAGGAGGAACTGCGGGTGTTGAAGGCTAGTGTGGTGGAACTCGAGGGCGATCTATTTCCTGCCGATGACGAGACTGATGACGACAGGTTGCTGGTTACCCGGGCTGACCTGCTTGCCAGGATACAGGTGTTGGAAGGTGATTGTCTAGATGCTTTCTCTGCGGGCTTCAACGGTGCTGTCGCGCAGCTTAGGATGGTGAACTCCGGTTTCGCCTTCGTCAAGGATGGAATCGGGCCCTTCCACGAGATAGTCGATGACCGGGTGGTCGACCCCAGCACCGAGGAGGCTGGCCCCGTCGTCCCTGTCGTCGAGCCTGAAGCTGAGGAAGAGGAGGGAGCATAGATT